AGTGAAATGTAATGATAATGACCCAAATGAAGAGAGGAAGACATTTTAAGCCTGGGTAAGTGGTTTCCCAACTAAAGCAAATTTTGTGACATTTTTATTAATACATTGATCCATTTTTCAATGATAATGATAGATATGTTCTGTTCTAGATAACATTTGAAAGTGAAATGAGCCAAATACTGATATTTTTTAAAAAGTATTGATGGTACTGTTTTAATATATTCATGAATTCTAGTTTGTCAGTTTACTTCAATAGACAATTTGAATGAAAATACTCCAGCTTATAGACCTACATGTTGTTGAATGGCTAGCCTTATAGCAGTGGTTCTCAAAATGTGGTCTTCAGACCAGAGGAGCAAAATCAGTATCACCCAAGAATTTGTTAGAAACGCAAATTCTCAGGCTCCAACCCAGGAACTCTAGAGAGGAGACCCAGCCATCTGTGTTTTAATAAGCCCTCCAGGTAAATCTCATGCACTCTAAAGTTTGAGAGCCACTACTCAAAAAAAAACAATTTTTTTAAAGAAACTAGATTGCCTGTAAGGCAGTAATTAACAATATCTTAATATTTATCTAACATTCCTGACTACTGTGTAGGCATTGATGAAATCTATTTACTTGTCTTATTGCAATATTAGAACTAGCCCATGAAATTAGGTTGTTTCTCTACTAGTTTAAGAAATGGATATACAATAAAAGTTGTCTGTAAACATCATTATAAGATAAGTAGTGGTGGAATATGTATTCTGAGCTGAGGAAGAAATTGCACTCAAACTTCAGTCAATGTAAGATGTGAATACTATTTTGTGGCTAAATATAATTTTCAAAGTCTGCTTTTCTTATAAAGTTCCTATTGTACCCTTGTTTATTATTATACTTAAAACCTCAGCTGTGAATCTTTCACTCTCATATAATTACAGCTTATACTGGTCTGAGGTTGAGAAGCTTCTGACATGCATTGTTGGGCATCCTCTCCACATTTCGCCATATCTACGTTTTCACTTGTCCTTCGTTGCTTACCCCATACCCAAGCAATAATCCTTCCTCCCAGACTAACCGATTCCCACTCTGCTTTTAATTTCATCCCCTCCTGACATTGTCAAGACCATTCTTTATCAATTATATTCTAATTCATTTTTCTTACATTTTATTCTCCACTTAATTCTTGGCTTTGAAACCTTATGCTAGGATATAAAACTAAAACCTAACCTTCACCCACTGCTACCTCTGCTATACCGCTGGTTTTGCCAAGGTCTTCCATGCTCCCAAGGTAAGAAAATCCAATGGCCTTTATCATTAAAATGCCTCCGTCTCCTCTTTGCATCACTTGGCATTGGAGAATCTCTCTTTACTCGGTTCAGTCACAAGTTACAAAAGTCCTCTTTTCTCTGGAAGCTCCTTCTCAATTGCCTTCATTAGCCTGCATGTCTCCTGCCCATGAGTGTGGGCATTCCAGGAGGTTCTTTCCACGGTCTTCTTTTTACATATTCTTAGGCCATCTTATTCATTCATTTGGTTCTAATAACCTGTAATCCCAAATGTGTATCTCTAGTCATTGAAATTTTCTGAGCTAATTATTTGCATTTACAACTTACTGTTAGATAAACACAAATTGTACAATCCATTAACATTTTAGACACCGTACTTCAAACTTAGTTCATTCACTTCTAAAACCCTCTATCCAATGCTTAATCTAGTCTTCCATATTTGTGTTCTTATTGCACATTCCTCTTAAGGTTCTATTTATCCTTGACATATATTTTCTCTCTGTCATTCCATAGTACCTGGTAAGCTCAATAAATATTTGTCAAGATGAATTGCAAATCATAACTGTCCATCGCTACTGCTCATGTAATCAAATAAATCCGTAACTGACCTCAAAAGCTAATACCATTTTCATGTATCCTGTGTTCTTCTAAGATGTAGCCTCTAAGTTAATGACGACAAAGAGTTGCTTTTAGCCTTGGCTCAGATCATTCAATGTGGAGTTTGCTTTAAAAAATATTTATTTTTTCCTGAAGTGAAGTAGTAATTTTAGAGTCAACCTCTCCCTTAATGTCTCATTGAAACCTGTCTTAATGTGGACTCTGATGTTATAACCAGGCTGTTTTTTCGTGTAACTCTATATGAAATATGTAAATTTCATGAATGGAATTTCCACGTCCTTATAAACTGTGCAGCAGTGTTTATTCAGATAAAAGGCAGTAAGAAACATGCTTTTACACAAGTTCTTTGGCTTTTCTTACCACATCAGTATCTGGCATCTTTACATATACTTTTTATGTCATTTATGTGACATTTTATGTCACATATACATTTGTGTCATTTTGAAAAATAGTACTTAGGAATATGTTTTTAATTTTAGTGGGAAACTTCCTAATGATCGCTTACAAAGCCACACAAGTCTCTTGAAGAGTATTCTCATAGGAAATGTTTCTCCCACAGTATCTATCTGAAGAGATAGTAACTCACTTAATCACTTAACCTTATTCTCATGGTCATACCAGACAACACTACGACTTAAAAACAGTGCTTTCAATTTACCTGAAATTCTAACAACCAATATGTCGGTATAGACTATTTTCTGCCCAAGTAGTTCTTGAATTGCTGGTAAAATTTCTTTAAAGGAGAATTCTCAGTGCTTGTTTGCTAAAAGTAAATAAAATACTTTTCTAAACTGGAACTTGAGGGAAACATAAGTCACTATTCCTAGGATTTCTTAGGTTTGTATATCTAAATGTCTTAGGTAGGATATAATGTTTCTTGGGTATCTCCAAATCCTCAAGTACAGAAGAGCCCTTCAGCTGTTATATAAATAAACTAGAGACCCAGTGCATAAAATTCGTGCACTTGTAGGAGCCCACAGAAACTCCATGGTAGCTCTGTGGGCTCAATGCCTAGTAACTGTTACAATTAGCCCATTACAATGTACTACCCTGGCGGAGTTTGAGAGGCTGATAATCTGGCCTTCTATTCTCATGGGACTGTCTCATTATATTTTGTGTGCTGCCAGATACCAAGATAGAGATATAAATACATACTATATAATAAAAGGCTAATATGCAAATTGACTGAACCACCAGGGGGCTGACGCTCAATGTAGGAGCTTCCCCCTGTTGGCCAGTGTACTCCCACAGGGGGAACACCTCCCAACCAGAAACCGGGCTCACAGCTGGCGAGTGCAGCAGCAATGGCAGGAGCCTCTCCTGCCTCCACTGCAGTGCTAAGGATGTCCACCTGATGGCAGGGAGAGGGCCTAAGCCCTCAGTCGGACATCCCCAAAGGGCTCCCAGACTAAGAGAGGATGCAGCACGGACTGAGAAACCCATGCCCCAAGTGCACAAATTTCATGCACTGGGCATCTAGTAGATAAATAAAATATCAGGAAGGTAAGAAGAAAGGAAAAAAGTTGGAAGGGAGGGAGGGAGGGAGGGAGGAACTTTGTCTTCTCATCTTTAATATTTTTATTTTTTATTGTTAAAACATCATTTTTAATAGTTGACACTATTACAGAGGTTCCTCACCCCCACCCCACCCCCTGGCCTTCACCACAATGTTGTCTGTGTTCATGGGCTATATATTTTAAAATCAGATTTATTTTATCCTTTAGAAGTATTTGTGATGTTCTGTGGCTTTTTTTTTTTTTTTGCTTTCTGCTTTTTTGGGGGGGTTCTTGGTATTTGGGCTGTGGGTATTTTTGTGCTTCTTGCTCCTTTTATTTATTTATTTTTTAATCTTTAGGAAGGGCTGGAAACAGTAGACAAGGGCTCCCATAGGATTAGCATTTCTATTTTAACTTTGCCACTTTCCGCTCACATCCAGGGCATCTGTTCAAAGCTGACCGTGCAGCATAGTGAAGGCATTTCTTTTTGTTTTTCCTTTGCTTCTGGAGTTATGAGAACATTTAAGTGCCTGGGTCAGGTTCAGACACATTCTGTCAAATTTATATTTTTGGTACTGTACATGAATCAGAATGACATGTGGTTTCTGATGAAAGAATGAGAGTATTCTTATGAATGGATGTCAGAGCTTTGGGATGATTTAATGTCATGATACTTTTTTCATATAAGGATACATGTGGTGTTCTGCCAAAATTCTTATATAGTATGGTGTATGGTTTCATGCTTCTTGTTAGCTTCTGTTTATCTGGGTGAGTACCAAGTTGGAATGTTGGCTGTAGTACGTCCTTTGAAAATGTGGATTGTGTGCCACAAATGTGACTAAAGACCAAATGTGTTTGCCTGCAGCATTACAAGGTAACCACCTTCATAGGAACTAACTAATTTGGCAGTCACATCTCTTGAAATGGCACACTTATTGAACTGCTAAGCGAGGCGTTTTGATTTTTAAAGAACTCTCAAAAATA